TAGAAGAAAGATAACTACCATCATGAAAGCATGTGAAAGTACAAATCCCACTAGAAAGGTACATATATAAACAAGAAATAGAAAATAATCAAATATTATCAAGCCACAAAGATAAATTAGAGAGAAAAAAGATTTATACAAATGGAGACTGAACAACACACTCTTTAATAGTGAGTCATTGAGAAAATAAGAAGGGAAATTTTAAAATTCTTCAAAATGATGAAAATGGAAGCACAACATATCAAAACCCATGGGATACAAAAAGAGCAGTCCTAAGAGTAAGTTTATAGCAATAAGTGCCTACATTAATAAAGAAGAAGAAAGATTTCAAAGAAACAACCAATGATGATGTATCTTGATATCAGACACTTGTGAGAATTTAACCATATATCTGCTGGTTAAATTGAAAAGTAAGCCTGTTATTGGCAGTAAGCCTGTTAACTATTCAGACTTTAAAGTTCTTAGTTCTCAGCCTTTTGAGCATTAGGACTCTATTTTTAAAATATTTGTAAATAAAATTTTTATTTGGGAGTAATTTTAAACTTACATAAAATTTTCAAGAATAAAGAACTATACTCATTACCTAATTAATTTATTATGAACATTTTTACCTCATCTACTTTATCATTTATGTTCTCTGTCTCAACCAATATTTTTATAAAATATTTATTTATTTAGAGATAAATTACATACATCATGACCCTTAATCCTTAAATATATTGGTGTCTATTTCCTAAGAATAGGGAATATTCTCTTGTGTAAGATCAAAGTACAATTATTAACTTCAGTGAATTTAAAATTGATACAATACTCTTATCTAATCTCTAACCATATTCAGTTTCCCCAAAAATACCCATTTTAGCACATTTCTGCCTTTTAGTATAGAACCCAGGCTAGGGTAAGCCATTGCATTTAGTTTCATGTCTCTTTTAATTTAGAACATTTTATATCTTTGTATTTCATGACATTAACATAAAAAAATACTGTACCCTCCTCCACTTTTAAATAAAATGATCTTTAATTTCAGCTTTTCTGACTAAATTCATGTTTAGATTCAGGTTATGCCTTCCTGATTGTACTGGAATACTACACAGATGAAGTTGTGTCAGGATTTCTTTTTCCAGTCAAAAAGATAATTTGTTACTTCCCAAGTGATCTGAATTTTTCATTTAATGTTTTATCCGTAGACAGTGCTGTGAAGCAGGTTCACTGTGCACGGATATCAGTCCCAGGGGAGGATTCCAAACACCTCACCTACTACACCTCAGGCTATGCCAGTTTTATCACTTGCATGATTACAGTGAAACAGAATATTTGCACAAAAGTTAAGCAAAGCAACTTCATCATCTACAGATAGGCAGTAAGGGACAGTAGAAGCCTAAGATTCATGGTGAGCTGGTCCCTCAAGGTTCAGGAAAGCAAGGTGGATGAATTCTCTTCTGCACATGCCCTATTTATATCACAACTGGTTTTTATACCCTGGGGCTTGGTGTAAAGCATTGTAGGATATTACATTCCAGGAGGGACAAGAATAGACAGGGCCCAGGCTCTTTCAGCCAAATCCTCCATGTCTTATGATCTAGCATTCCTAGTACACTCAACAATGATTCTTGAGAACTATAAGCAAGATAGGGAAGAACTGGCTTGGTCCAAGGCCATTCAAGGAACTGCCCTGAAAGTCCTTAGTGTGTATGTGAATTTGTGAATACTTTGAAAATTCCATTCTTTAGTGGCCCATTGAATATTGAATTTTCTTATTGTAATTCTTATTATATTATTTTATGTTGTTATTATTATTTATAGTACTGGGGATTGCACCCAGAGCCTTATACGCTATGCCATATCCCAAGTTCTTTTTATTTTAGTTTTGAGACAGGGTCTCACTTAGTAGTCTAGGCTAGCCGTGAACTTGCAATCCTCCTGCCTCATTCTCCTGAGTTGCTGGGATTAGAGGCATGAACCACCACACTGGATTTATTTTATCTTATTATTAATTCAGAACATCAGAAAGTTATACATCCAAACTGCTATTTTTGCTTCTCATGTTGGCTTTTTTAGAGGGTAGATACAGGAAATGCTCATTTGAAGAATGCATTTGTGTATTTGGCAAAACTACCTTCAGTAACATTGTCCCCCATGTTTCTCAAAGCCTCACTTCAGAGCACATATTTCTCGAATAAAGCTTGCCTCTATAAAATAACTTAAAGATTCCTTTTTATGGAATAATTAGGAGTTAGAGATTTTAATGAAATTTTTCTTTTCTCCTTGGTTTTCAGAATGTTGAAGGCTATGTTTAATGCTTAATTAGTCTAATTCAACCTGAATATATATTCTCTTTCTAAAGTGGTCCTGAATTTAAAAAAAAATTTATATTGAATTGCCCTCAAATAGATATATTTCAATATTACATAGTTAATGGCTTGGAAAGCAGGATGTGGGTTGAATTTGAGTCTCACACCTTTGGAGCTTAACCTAAGATGCAGACCTGATGGACTTCCCTCTTTCCCTGTGTAGGTGGGGGTGGGGGGGTGACTTGTCCACGGGTGAGTCTTCAGACTTAGTGTAGGTCCTGGCCTTGTCAATACAGAGCACCTGGTCCTCTACCCACTACTAAGCCAGAGCTGCAGATTTAGGATTTGCCGTCAAGAGGCCTGATGTTCTCCTTCCAACCATTCACTTTCTAGTAGGTAAGCCATCCCTTTACTCAGTAAGGAAATGGGGCTCTTGAGCCACTTGTCCCTGGCTATCTTACCTCAGCTTTGGTTGCCTATTGTTCCTTTTGCTAATTCACACAAAGTCACGCACATGCTTCTGGGTTGTGCCCATGCTTTTAATTGATCTTTGTCATAACTTGTGACTTTGTTAATTATAGGGGCCAGAATGGGGGTGGGGCAGAGGGAACAGGGCAAAATTTTCTCCTTGTTACTTAGGCAACAGGGCAATTTACTGAGGTATTAACTGGGGTTTTGTTTTTCTTTCTAAAAAATACAGCAAGAATGAGTACCATTTGTGTTTTACTCTCTTTATTTCCCTCTTTCTGGTTGTACTTCTTGCCTGGTAGTATTGAAGAGCTGAAAGCCGGAAGTGCTGGAAACAACCCATTTCTCCGCTTTCCTGAAAGTTTTGAAAATACCAAGCAAGTGTGTCCCATTGACAAGGAAGACACTGAAAAGGAATAGGTCAAAAAATGTCAGGGAGGGTGGACATTCTATAAAGCCAGGCAGGCCCAATCTCTGTGTTCCTAGAAAGAGTGGAAAATTCTTTAAGTGGAATACCCTCTGGGCCGAGAGAAACTGGGCCCCAGCATTGGATCCCCAACTCACTAGAGTTTTGCATTGAAACATGACTTCAAAAGAGTAAGGCCATGGATTAATTTTTTTAAATTTTTATTTTTAATATTATCACACAGTAAAATTTACTTTTTAATTTTGTATTGTTCTACAAATTTTAACACAGATTTGGGTTCATATTTTCAGGCTACAGAACAATTCCATGACAAACTCCAGAACTCTGCCATCTTATTCCTTTACAGTCAAGCCTGCTGCCATTCATAACTCCTGAGAACCACTGATTGGTTTTGTCTTTTTGAGAATGTCAGATGAATGAAATCATATAGTACCTATTCTTTTGAAACTGGCTGCTCTCAGCGTGTCTTTAAGATCCATCTATGTTGTGTGTATCAATAGTTCACTTCTCTTTACAGCTGGATAGTATTCCATGGTATGGACATACCTCTCCATCTGTTCATCCTTTCACCTGTTGTCGGATATTTGGGTTGTTTTCAGCTTTTGTATATCACAAAACTACTATGGACGTTTGTGAACAGGGTCTTGTGTGAATATAAGATTTAATTTCTGTAGGGTAAATATCCAAGAGTGAGGTTTCTGAATCATGTGATAAAAGTCTGTTTAACTTAATAGAAACTGCCACACTGTTTCTGAGAGTAGTTGTATTATCTTACACTTCTACTAGCAACATGTGAGAATTCAAACTGTTCTACATTTTACTCAGCACTTGGTGTCATCAGTATTTTTTATTATAGTTATTGTAATAGCATGTAGTGGTATCCCTTGGTGATTTTAACTCTGAAGCCCCTGAATAGAAGGGCTCATGTGGCTTTGGACAGTATCAATAGTAAGCAGTATGGAACACAGATGGAAATGACTTCCCAAATTGCTATATATTTTATTTCCCATCTATTTTGTTGTCATGACTCTGGGGATAGACAGTGAAACAAAAGGCCCAATAATGACCAAGAATGAAATTCTTTATAATGGATTGGCAGATAGGAGTTTTTGAATCAGATTTAAATAAAATAAAGTAATAGAGAAATTCCTGCAAACTCAGTTGTGGTAGAAAGGCATGCCTTCTTCATGGCAAAAATTAGAGATATTTTGAGGCCATGTATTTATAATTCGGTACATTTTACTTTCTGTATGTCCACTCACATCTGCATCCCTTGATGAAACCACAACAAAGCATCTTAGAAGGATCTCTCACAGGTATGAACCAGAACTCTGATCACATATGAAATATCTCTGTGGATTTGAATTGAGGAAAAAAATATAAAATAAATGAAGACAGGGATAGTACAGGCCCAGGTGTTTATTTCCCAGTGTTCAGTGAACTGAAAAAGGCTACTCATCAATGGCCAGTGATCAAGTCTCCAAGTTTCTAGAAATAAAAAAAGCTAGAATTCAAGCATTTTAATAAGAAAATCAAACCACTTTCTTTTCCTGACCCCTATTCATAAGTATTTTCTAAACCTTTAGTTTCAAGAATTCCTTCTCTACATTTTCTCCCTTAAGGCTCTTTGAATCTCCAGTGCAGGGACACAGGTGTCACATCCCTGACTTCCCAATTCAGGAGCTCTTATTGTGTGATAAATAATTTGTATGGTCTTTGTGTTACCAACCAGGTGTTACCACCTCTTAGTGTTACCAGCTCAGCTTTAGGTTTGTTTGCTCAATTCCAGATAGAAATCACGAAGAGGCAAGCAATTCAATCCGGATGAGGCTTTATTGAGGCTTATGCTCAAGCGGAAGGGAGACAGCACACAGGAAAGGGCTCCTGGACCGGCTCTTCAAGGAGTAAAGCTTATGTAGTCTGACAAGCAGCTTACCCATGGCTCAGGACTTCTGCTTATGTCTCATTTGATCTTTTCTCGGTAACAACATCTGTGGTCTGTATAGTGATCTGTGCACTTGCATTGAATCCATTTGTGCTCAGTTTGCAAAAGATGGCATAGGTACTCACTGCTGTCACCACAGGAAGGTCAGAGCCAGCATTCTGTGCATGCGGAAGCTGCAGGAAAGTCCCTTTACAAGCTTTAAAGGAAACAGGTGGCATCAATAGGGCCATTCTGCAAAAAAAATCTGCTTCTTGTTAAAGATAGAAAACATGGTTGGGAAATCAGGTCTTTATTCTGTATCATTGGTCCCAGATTCCTGGCTCAGAGCTTCTAAAACCCTTGGAATTTGCTGAGCAATGGGTGTGTCTTTGTTGTTCATGAACCTGAACCCACTGGATCACACCTGGGTTTATGCTAATGAGATTACTCTTGGTGGATCCCAAGATAGTTTCAGGATGAGGACTTGTCACTAGAGAGAACAACCCTGTGGTTAGAGGGTTGGAGCTTTGAGTCACCTCAACTACTGAGGGGAGGAAAACAGAACACTGTGTTCCATCCTGTGGGCAATGACTTAATCAATCAGGCCTATGTAATGCAATTCCAATAAGAACTCTGGACACTGAATCCTAGTGGAGTTTCCTGATTGGTGAACACATTGATTTCTGGGTAGGATGACACTTCCTAATTCCATAAGGAGGAAGCTCTATGTTCCAGACTGTTTTCGTCAGCTTTTTCATCTTTGTGACCAAAAGATCTGACAAGAACAACTTAAGGAGACTGGCTTCTCTTACTGTGCGTGACTGTGTGAATTAGCAAAGGGAAAATAAAAGTTTATTTTGGTTTATGGTTACAGAGGTTCAGTCCATGGTCAGCCGACTTTGTAGCTCTGAGCCTGAAGTGAGGTAGAATATCATGGTGGAAGAGCAGTAGAGGAAAGTAGCTTCAGGAAATGGCAACCAGGAAGGGGAGAGAGAGAAAGAGAGAGAGAGAGAGAGAGAGAGAGAGAGTGAGGGAGGGCTTTGTTCACCAAAGGCACATGCCCAGTGACTGACTTCCTCTACCACACCCAACCTGCCTTTAGTTACTGCCCAATCAATCCACATCAGTCAATTAATTCACAGATTAGGTTAAGACTCTCTTAGTCTAATCATCTCCCCTCTGAAAATTCTTATATTTTCTCACATATGAGCTTTTGGAGGACACCTCATATCTAAACCATAACACAGACCCTCCCAGAGCTCATCCTATATGTCTCTCCATTTAGCTGGCCCAATTTGTATCTTTAATAATACAATTATAATTGTAATTATAATGATTTCCTGGATTCTTTTTTATTTATTTATTGTAGTTGTAAATGGACAGAATGCCTTTATTTGTTTATTTATATGTAGTGTCGAGGATCGAACCTAGTGCCTCGCACATGCTAGGCAAGCGCTTCTGCCACTGAGCTACAACCCCTGATTTCCTGAATTCTATGATTCACATTAGTGAGCTATTAAACCCAAAGGGGGTTCAACCCCCTGGAGTTGGAGTTGGTTGGACAGATCGTGGCTGGCCTGTGGACCCCTCTCATGACTGGCATCTAAAGTAGAGAGAATCTTATAAAGGACTGAACCTTTGACTTGTGGGGTCTCAACTAACTCTGGGTGCTAGAACTGAACCTCAGTACACCACTTGGGGTCAAAATAGAGTGCTCTATAAGTCCATGGGTGGGACCTGTGGGCACATCTCTGGTGATTGCCCTAGACCTCACCTTTCTTGTGCTTCCTCTTTTGCCACAGCAGACACTGTAGGCTGTCAGCACAGAATTGCGATTCACTGAGGACCTGGGCCAGATGGTGTTTGCTCTGATGTTCTAGTCAGGGGAAAGTTATAACTACTTCACTGATTCATCAGGGAAATGCTAATGTGGCATAGCTAGCCTTCTGTTTTTTCCTTTTTCCATGGCCCCTATATTAGACCTAGGGGAGGGTTTCCTCTATCAGCCCCTTTTCTACGAATGCCTCAAAAGAATGCAAGGCCACTTTCCCCTTATTCTTTTGGCCTTCAGGAAAAAAAAAAAAAAAGTACAGAATGGGCCAGTGTCTCCACATGGATCATGGCATGGCTCTTCAGAGAAAGACTAAATGGGTCCAGTGAGCCTCAGCCTCAGGATATGCTTTGGGTTCCTCCGTATTCATCAGGGAAATTCCTGTTGCCTTGGCTTTTTAAAGGGTGAGTTCACTACCCCTGTTTTTCCTCCTCTGCTTCTCAATTGGTGCTTCACCTTGCCCTTTGGCAGTTTTTCCAGTCAGTGTGACACAAACATTACCATCCTTAAGAGAAGGGGGCAGGTGATCAATGAAAGCTCCCTAATAAGTTACATGCACTCTGCACACTGCTGTCAGCCTTAAAGGTCACGTATTTCTGAGCTATGAAGAACAGCACAGCGGAAGCCTCATGCATAAGTAAAGTTTCTCCTTGCATTCAAAAGTAATTTAAATGGCTGGGAACTTATCTCTGTGATAAAAGCTGCACCTTTTTATGTATGTTCAACCTGAGGAGAGTGCTTCAAATCCTCCCTGGCATTTGCCTTGCAGAGCTCTTGTGGGGGTAATGGGCCGCAGCACGCGCTTGGGGCTCCTTGCAGGGAAAGTGTGAAGCAAGTGTAAATGTATTATTATTGCCATTAGGAATAGTGATGGGTGGGGGGGCAATAAATGCTAAAGATAAAATCACTGAAATCTATAAGGGAAATGTAAAGCTGGGCCCATGAAGTTCCATACTTCAATTAAATTAAATGACCACATAATGCTACATTCTAATCCTGTGTGCATAAATTAACATAAACACAAAATGACACCGAACTGCCAGCATCAGCAGGAAATGGAGGGGCCATTAGTCATTACCCTCTGGAAGCCCCCTCTCCTTATTATTATTCAGTGCCTAGGAACTTGACAACCACAAAGTGCTTAGCAGTCATTTGTGGGTGACTGTGCTTCCTCAAAGCTGCTTCTCTCCTAGGTTCTCCATTGACCCAGGTTCCCATCTTAATGTGAGACCTCCACTGGGCATGGTCTTCCTGTTCCCTAGAGCAGCTGCGAATACTCTCCCAGCTTAGAGGTGCTCTCGGATTCTGCAGAGCTCTTGTAATTAGCTGATACTTGATTGATAAAGAGGTAAGGCCTCATCGTGCCTGTCCTGCCACCTGGCTCCCAGTGCATGGTGACAGAGTGTTAACCCTATGGTTCCTACTGTCAAACTTGTACAGGAGCTATTTCTGCTTTGTGTGCAAACTTTCCTGGAAGGGACTCTGAAAACCTGGCACTCTGACAGTTCCCAGAGTCCTATGACAAATGTGAATAGATGTGTGTGGACTTGTGCTGTGAGGTGCCCTCTCATACAGCCTCCTAAAAAGAAACCCGAAGTTTCTTCCTATTAGATACCCTTATTCATTTTGGAAGTAACGTATGAATTGTCACCCTCTCAGAGTAATGTAATATATTGATTTTCAAACTGGCCTTTAGCTATGTTGGAGCTATAATTTGAACCAAGGTTGTGTCCTCTGCAGGGGTTCAGATGTGTCCTAGCATGTCGAGTGAACCACTGGTGCAGACCTGAGCAATACCTATTTTCACAAAGGGCTGGGCTGCCTTCATCCTAAGGAAGAAGGAGCCAGGCTATATACCTGATGCACAGAGGTATGACCAGAGAAGGAGGATGATTGTGAAGGTGGCACAGGGCTGTCTACAACTTCCTGAGTGCACATCCACAGCCTCATGCCAGTCTATAAATTGGTTCCAAGCATTTGGAGCTCCTCTATTGGATGTGACCACAAATTAAGTGAGACCCCTCCCTCAACACATGGCCCTTGGTCATTAACTGCCATGCACCTCAGTGCCATCAAGGCTTTGGTGCATTACCAAATTACCATGGACCAGGAACTCTCTGGGCTCAAATCCTTCTATGCACATATGAATTAACCTCGGAGACTCACAGAAATGTTTAGGAAGCATGTTTTAGGAGACTAAAAAATAGTATGAACAGGTGTTTTAGAAGTCAGTAATCCTGAATTATTTTGTATTCCTAGGTTGGTGGGAGTTATGGAGTCTGAAGTCCACACCTATATAATTCACATGCTCAGTTTTATCTATGAATTCTTTCAATATGTAATTTTTTGAGCACTCACTCTGCCTGGTATTCTGCTAGGCCCTAAATTATAAGTCTCCAAATCTAGTGGCAATAAAGAGATATCAATAACTCTAATGATGATGATGATAATGATAATGAAAATGAGGATGAAGACAATGATGATAATTATCATTTGATTATCAATTATACATATGCATTGTGGTAGGTATTGAGTGTATATGATTACCAGTCTTCACAAGAGCCCTACAAGAGGGTGCATTATAAATACATGAAGATAAGACTTTGAACATATATGTATACTGTATAGTAGTCCCTCATCATTTTTCCACAGAGAAAAGAATCAGAATCTTAAAAGTATCAGAATATTGAGCTTTTCCTACAGCTGGAAAGTGTTTCTCCCAGATGGATAATAATTGACATATGCCCATGACTTCATCATATTTTCGTGGGCCAAAGGGGAGTCCTTGCCTACTCAAAGAGAGCCAGCAGGGCTCATTGTGCATTCACTTCACATGGACTTCTCCAACAAAAGGTAAACATCTTTATTATTTACAGGAATGCCTTCCACCAAGAGAAGGGCCGTTACATATCTGAATATAAGGATCTTCCAAATTGTGAAGTTTCCTGGCTAATTTTCGGTTTTTCAGGTTACCAATGAATGTGAAGAACTTCTCTGAAAAAGAGCGTAGGACTAAAGACAAACTAAGAGTTAAAGTGTTCACAGCTAATTAAAGTTCAGTCTGGAAGGAAGGTATAATATCTTTGACAAGATAATATAAGCCAATAGGAAAATGACTCACTTTATACACATCCTTTCAGGAACACTTCGATTTCACCATGTGAAGCACACCTGCGCCTGTGGGTTAGCATTGACTCAGTCTTGTCATGAGAAAAATAAAAGTTCTTTTACTAATAGGCACTGCTTTATTATCTCTACAAAGATAAGATGAACTCAATTGATGACCTGGAAGTGAGATGCATAGACGGTCCACTTAAGATTGGAGGATTGTGAGGAAAATATGTCATTACCCTGTATAAGCAACTCAGCAATGTCTCGTCCTAAAGAAGGACAAGACATTTCCTGATGCTTGTTTACTACTGCAATGATATACCGAGTATGAACTATGTCTCTAAATTATTTGTCCCAGAAACAAAATCCATCCCTCTAATGCTATTATCAGAATACTCTAGACAAATACATGCAATCTCATGTCATTTTGCCTAGGCAAATCAGCTGAATTTTATGCTGTCGTTTTTCCCAGGCAAAGCTGATATCATTACCATATGACTACAGCCAGCAAACACTTCTGCAGTTATCTCATATCCTCACAGAATCTTTTCCCCCAAATGTCAATGTCGTTCAAATGAATTTCCACAGGAACAACATTCAAAGGAACAGTTCTGTGATACTACCACCCACCCTCCCCCTCCTCAAGAAATCAGGCTTACAAGAGACATACAGCGTTTTTCTGGCAAGAACTTAAAGATATCTGATTTAAGTGCTTAATTCTTGGATGTCGAGCAGAGCAGAGCACTTGAACTATGAAAAACAGCCACGTGTTTTTATTGTAGACCCCACTCTGCCATGCTACTAATTCATGCTTGATTATGCATCATACCTAAAATTCCATTTCTCAGCACAACTACAGACCCTAACAAAAGCTCAGTGAGGGATCCATTCCTTCCCTCTCACTAGACATCCTCGGCTCCTATTAATTTTAATGTAACTTACATGACAGTAAAAATATTCATAAATTCAAAAGATAACCCTGCCACTTCTAAAGCTTTGCCATTTCAAAACATTAATTTCATACAAAATATGGTTATTTGGGCAAAAGAGAATTTTTTCTTTCCATAACTCCCTTCCTAAACAGATAAGCAAGAATGTATTATGTGACAATTATAATTTTAATCATTTTAAAAGCTTCTCTTGTAGATAAATTTACTTTTCATATCTTTATCTGTAAAATGACATAATCGACTTACTTAAATACTTCTTCTCTTAATCTGTTTGGGCTACTGTAACAAAAGACCACAGACCAGGAGGCTTATCAACAGCAGAAACTCAATTCTCATAGTTCCAGAAGCTGGAACCTACGAGCTGAGTGCCAGCCTGGTGGGGGGTGGTTCTGCTGAAGGCCTTCTGGGCTGCAGACTGCTGACTTCTCACATCCTCACACGGCAGAAAGAGCCAGAGCTAACTTTCTGGCCTCTTCTAAGGGCACTAATACCATTCATTAGGGCTCCATCTTCACTGCCCAATAACCCTCCTAGAGGCCCAAAACTTTAAATATCATCACATTGGAATGTACGAATGAGCGTGGGAGGACACAAATATTCAGTCCATAATGCTTCCCTAGAGAGCATCAGGACCTATGGAACCCAGTACTTAGAGGGCTTCCAGGCTCTGTGCATTCACTCTATTAGACCATGACCTCATTGAAGGCAGGGACCATTTCTGTCTTATCCACCACTATTTGGGAGTCCCTCTGGGAAGGCCCTGTGCCTGTCTGTTCTCAGATCCATGCTCTGCTCTGCTCTGCTCTGTATATGTGCACAGACATGTGTAAAGAGAGCCAAATGTGGTGCAGAGTAATTAATGGGTTTAGTCTCTCCTTTTCTGTCCATCCAGGGCCACATCTTTTGAAGCAACTGCACTGTCGTCATGGCTGCACTTTTACCAGACAGGCCCCACTGTGGTTCCAGCTTTCCTAGGGCTCCTTGTCCTTGAATTGCAGCAACACTACCTCCTCCTCCTGTCCCAGAGGTCTAGGAGTGTAATATCCTCCTCCCATTGCTCTTCTCTGGGGCTCTTCACATCCTATTTGGCTATTCAGCTCCTCTGCCACCTGTGTAACCAATTTCTAGTAGTTTTTTCTATTCTGTTTTCCTAATTGGACCTTCAAAAAATACATGTTGAATAAATGAAACTTGTAGGATTTATTGTTGCTAGACATTGTTCTTAGGGGGTCTATAGTTCCTATAGCATCATCTTCCTGCTGCTCACCCCCAGATTCTTATGCATTCTCAGAGTGAGGCCCCCCCATACCAGCAGTATTGGCATAACTGGGAATTTATGAGAAATGTAGAAATGAAAACTTGAGATCCTATACTAGACTTTCTGAATCAGAAACTCTGGAGTAATTTGAGATCTTAAGCCCTTCAGGTAATTTTGGTGCAAGCTGAGTCTGAGAACCACTGTTGTACAGGTCATAAGACCTCACCCCAGTGCTGGGGAACTTGAGCCCCCAACCTCTCAGTGCATTTACAGGAGGCCTCAATATTCCTTAATGAGATCATCTTGCTTCTAAGCTACATCAATTAATAAGACAAGTACAACACTACACCATATTGATGAAACCCATTAAGAATTTTTAACTAACTTCAATTAATTCCCAATTTTCAGCTTAACTTCAATTGAATAGCTTTTCATTTTAACTGATATTATCCTTTACAGGCTAATTTAGCAAGGTTAACAATATTCAGAGTTTAAGAACCATCACCTAGATAATGTATATTACCACAACCTAAATTCATGATTAAAAGTAAAAAGGGTGGAGTTGCTTTCCATGGTACTATAGTGAATAAACAAAAAGGTGGTTTCCACAAGAATGGGACCTAATTAGAATAAGTTATCCTCCTTGTATGTATGTAAAAATATACTCTACTGTCATGGATATCTAAAAAGAACAAATAAAAAGAGGGAAAAAAAAGCAGTAAATAAGAAAGGTGGTTTCAAAGTTATTTAAGATGGCTATGAAGAAATTTTAATATTAATGACAATCTCTTAAATGTACCAGGCAGATTGCTTTCTCTCTGAATTCTTATTACATTTATTCTAAGATATGTCAGGTAATTTATTCTTCACAACAAAGTTAAGAGGTAACCAGTTGCATCCCCATTTTACAGACGAGGAAATGGAGTCAGAGAAGTTAAGTTGTAACCTGAGATCACACAGCTAGTAAAAAGCAGAGCTTAGGGGCTGGGAGTGTAGTTCAGTGGTTATCACTCCTGGATTCAATTCCTGGTAACCTCTCCCATCCCCCAAAAGAAGCAGAGCTTAGGACCAAATGCCAAAATCCTCTGCACTACATGAATTGAATATTCATTGAAGACCCTGTATATACTTTGCTCTCTGAATGGTTGTGGGGAAAATTATACCTGGGATAGACACAATCCCTGATCCTTCTTCCCCCATGTAGTTCTTAACAAGTGGGACACATAAATATAAAACAAGTCAACAGAGAAATAAATGCAATTGTTGTGAGTGGTAGCGACTACTATGGAGGAAGCAAGTGTGGGCCTGAGATGGAGCTAACAGGGAGACTAACCTTCCCCAGGTAAGTAGACAGGGGAGGTCTCCACAGGGGGAGAGGTTTAGGCTAATATAAAGGATGAACAGTAGGCATCTATGCCATGCAAAGGGAAGATCTGTAAACAGAGAGAGGAACATGAACAAGATGCTTAGGGAATTTGAGAAACCAAAAGGCCAGTGGCACTGGAAGTCAAAAGGGTGAGAGAAACACAATTGAGGTCAAGAAATAGTGTGAGAAAAAGCAAGCATAATTTTATGCTAAGTCCAAGCAAGGAGACTGAATTTTTTCAAGTGCAATGAGTATTCATCGAAGGTTTTTAAATAGTGTGGGATAGGATAATGGAGTTATATAGCTAATGTATGTTATTATTTCTTTTTTATAGTACCTGTTCTTGTTTCATGATTCAATATCTTCTCTTATTGGATAATACTTACAGTATTACAAAATTTTATTTTGTTCCCTGCTTGCTGTAGATTCTTATATTTTCCTGGTAGTGTTTTTTGTTTGTTTTGTTGCTATCTTTTCATGTTGATGGTTTTCTTCTAATGTCTTGGTTATTTTGTATTTTCTTTTCTTTTTTTTAAATTTGGGATTTATAGTTATAATAGTATTTGGATTCATCCCGACAAACTCACACATGCATGGAATTCAATTTCAGTTCATGATCTCCCCCACTTGCCCTCCTGTCCTCTGTCCCCTCCCCATTCCCCTTCCTCTGCTCTTCTAGACCTCCTTTTGCTCATCTATTGATTTATATTTAATTGGTTCTTTTTACTTACGAAGCTATCTTGTATTGCAGAGTGAAGCACTTATGCATTATTGGAAGCTTGACTTGTATGGTGAAACTTTTCCTGGAGAAAAAAGAGTGTGTCATTGGTATTTTCCCAGTATCAGCATCTGCAGAAAAATTCTCTTTGAATAATTCCTCCCCAAAAGAGAACCATTATTCTGCCAGGGGGAGCTAAGCCTGTGGTGTGGAAGCTGAGCAGATGAAAGGGGCTAACTGTCGGACTTGTCAATATGTACTTTCCTGCAATCCCCCAAGAATCTGAACGTTGTCTCACTCTCAGCTGTGCCCATGTCCCCAGGTCTCTGTTTCATTTTATCTAGAAAATAAACACCTACTTTCTCATTTACAGTGAGAAAGAGTAATTACCTGGTTGCACAGCCTGGGAATGGGTTTGGGGTGTCTAATCCTTCTTTGTACAATCATTCAACAAACCCTTTGCCTTTCCTACCCCAAATCTCACAACCCGGCCTTCTGAGGTTCCCTGGAGACTTTGGTTCTTAGTCTTCCTGCACTTGTGTCATGAATTAAGTCACGTTTGGCCTTCTATTATCTGAAGATCTGGAATCAATGGATCCAACAATGAGTGGAAAATATTTGGGAAAAATCAGATCTGTACTGAACATGTGCACTTTTTTCCTTGTTGTTATTCCCTTAAAATACAGTATAACAACTATTTACATAGCATTTACATTGTACTAGTATTATAAAAATCTAGAGATGATTGAAATATATGAGGGATGTGCATAAGTTATGTATAAGCTTGTCATTTTGTATAAGAGATTAGAGCATCTGAAGATTTTGGTATTCTTAGAATGTCCTGGAACCAATCCTCTGTGGATATTGAGGAATGACTGTGCTTTTTATTGACATAGGCTTTATGAGGCACTCAAGTTTGTTTTTCTCCTTTTGATAAGTAAGCTACCATAATCCACTTATTTTCCATTCTTTAGCACTGTTAATGACAATTTGGTACTAACATCTGAAGTAGTTGTACTAAAAATTTTTAGAAATCACCACAAAGCTTCATTCATTTAATGTTGAGCCCATTCTCTAAGGCCTTGCGTATAAAATGTCAACAAATAGATGGGATCCCTGCCTGCATGACATTTATGCCTGACAAACTCCTTGTCTTGTGAGGCTTTATCAGGTTACAAGGGAGGCATGGATTCCTTCAGATTAAAAAGAAACTTTCTTTTCTTATTTTCTAAAGATGCAGGAAAAAGCTTAGAAAATTTAGGAAACCCAAGAACCATAGGGTCAGGTCTAAAGGGAGAAAACAAACAATAATACCTCATCATTCAGAATTCGGACTTCCAATTTCTACTCCAGATACAGAGGCTGTATATGGATGACCAAAACAGTAATCTTTCCAGATTAAAAAAAAATAAAAAAGATTAAGGATGTCTTACCCAGGCCCCATTATTGGTAGTCAATTTTGGCTAGGATGCTGGCCTCTGGCTAAGTCAGTTTAGTCAAGAAGTAAAGGGTCACAGAGCGCTGCTCTTGGCACCTCAAGGGGAAGGATGTACTTTGAAGATAAGGGTGAGACAGGCATAAAACATTTTCTACTACACGTGTGACTGTAGTTCAACATCTGCTCCAAAACCAGAAGAATTCCACTTTATATTTTCCATCTGGATTTATCAAATCTTGTCTCATATGGAGAACATACCTGAGCTCGGTTTGTGATTTAGGCACCAGAGCTCAGGATGGTGGAGGGTAAAAAGTAAAGGGTATCTGGGATGGCATCTGGGTAAAGAAAAATGTAGGCATGTTAGGGATTGGCTGGTGTGAATAGTTCCATTAAAAATAACTTTTCACATGTTACAACCAGCAAATTATTCTTAGTATTTGTAGCACTGGTCCAATCTAGAACTGCCTGGAACATTAGCTGAAAGGGCCCATCAATCCAGAAAAACCTATTACAGGTCTCATGTTCATTCAAATAAAGAGCAAGGAAATAAACTTTCAATGTAGAGGAAGAAAGTTAAATTCTGAACTTCCTCATTTCAGCAGGATCACAGTGCTTGTTCCAGGGGAAACAGGGAATCTTTTAGAGACCTCATAAGCTAGGAGGTATTTTGGTGAAAAATTTTCTGAGTCACAAGAGGGGTATGCAGAGCCTATACTGGCCTGTTTGGAGGCATCACTGGACAGCTGCTTCTTATTCCATAGCTCAACACAATGCTCTCTTTGCCATGAATTTCATGGGGCTTTAGGCAAATCCCCACAGCAATTCACAATCGGAACACTGAAGGTTACCATGACATGCTCCCTCTCACGCTCCGACACCACGGTTCCAGCCCTGAAGTTCTTTAATTTTGAAACATCAAACTCTGTTATTAGGTAAATGAGTCGCAGCTGTGGTAATCAGACCTTAATTAAAACAAAGTCATATAAAGCAAGCTAACATGCACCACCACACTCATTTTGGTTTGTTTTGTGAAACCGTTTTATCTCGAGATCATTCGTTTACCATAATCATTTCCTGTTTCTGAGATGAAATTTCCACGCAGAGATGTTTGCAATGGTGCTCTGTCTTACACCTTCCTGTTAACATCAAGGTTTGATGGTATTTGTGGAAATAGGCATTTGCTGAAGTGAAATATTTTACATATTTCCAGAAATCCATTAAAGGCTTTCTTTGTGTACCATCCATTAATACCTCTGAGCCTGTACATCCTGAAAACAGAGAGCTGAGAATAAAACCACTACAATTGCTACAATTTTTGCCACAGTGGCCAGTGCTTCTTGTAAACAGAATGTGTGCCATTGTTCCAGTACCAAGGAAAAAAAATTCTAAGTGCCTCAAGATCCAATTTCAACAAATTTCAATTCTCACTCTCCAAAGTGAAAGAAAACATCTCTATTGATTTCTGACATAAACAACTGGATCAAAAGCACTTGCTGTTTTTGTTCAAAGTACCCATCTCTTTCTTTCTTTCTCTTTTCATTATTCCTTTGCTTTACTTACCTTTGATTGGCTTGTTACAGAATGAACTCACCCATGCATCTGAGTCCATTTTCCCCTGTAGAATTGTAGGGCTATGTGAAGCTGTAATCCGGTGATGCTGGGTGTTGTTGAAACTGATTCTGACATCATCCAGATGTTCTCATGAGCTCTCAGCATGGCTGGCTTTGTGGCCAAAGCCCTGGTTTGGGTTCACTGCTTCAAGTATGGAAGGACTGGATATTCTCATCAGTGATGGTGTAGCCGCAGCCTCTTGAACAAGTGCAGGAAAAACTGTGGGAATTAAATGAGGGTATTTTGCTGTTTTGCAGGAATACAGCATTTTGGAAACTCATATTTGTAAAATTCACAGAGCCTGAGCTGTGTCTTAGGTTTCTATTTACCCATTTATTCATTCATTTAAAAATTAAGATCTAATTCACATACTAAACATTTCGTTAAAGTATGCAATTCCGTGGCTTTTACTTTATTACAAAGTTGCATAACCATCATCGCTCTCTAATTCCAGAATATTTCATCATTCCAATAGAAAACCCATACAAGTTGCCTGTCATTCCCTATTCCTCCAACACCCAAAGTCCTGGCAGCCATATCCACTTTCTGTCTCTCTGGATTTGCCTATTCTGGACGTGCTTTATAAATGGAGACATAAAATGCAACATTTTGCACTTTCACTTTTAGTTACCGTCATGTCTTCAGGGCTCACCCATGCTATAGCATGCATCAGTGCTCTGTTTCTTTTTTGTGGCTGAATAACATTTCGTTGTTTGGATATATGACATTTTCTTTATCCATTCATCAGTTGATGAACATTTTAGTTGTTTCTGCTTTTTGACTCTCATAAATAATGATGAGATAACATTCATTTACAAGTTTTGGGTGGATATATGTTTTCAGTTCTCTTGGCTATTACATCTAGGAGTGGAATTTTTTAGTCCTCTGGTGACTCCATGTTTAACTTTTGAGGAACTAACAATTTACCAAAATGCCAGCACCAATGCTGGGCGTGGTGCCACATGCCTGTAATCCCAGCAGCTCAGGAGGCTGAGGCAGGAGGATTGTGCATTCAAAGCCTCAGCAAAAGTGAGGTGCTAAGCACTCTCTAGACCCTGTCTCTAAATAAAATAAAATATAGGGCTAGGGATGTAGCTCAGTGGTCAGGTGCCCCTGAGTTTAATCCCCAGTACCCATCCCCCCAAAAATGTCAGCACCATTTTGCATTCCCAACAGCAATGTGACAGCCCTATTTTTCCACATCCTTGTGGACACTTGCAATTGTCTTTGATTGTAGCCATTGTAGAGAATGGTGTCTCATTATGTTCTGGATTTGCATTTCCCTAATGACAGTGATAGTGAACATCTTTTCATGTGCTTTTTGGCCATTTGTGTATCTTTTTTTTTTTTTTAGCAATGTATATTCAAATATCTGGCCAACTTTTTAATTGAGGTTTTTGTTTTTTAAGTTTTATAAATTCTTTATATGACCTAGGCATGTAAATATCTAGACAATTTATCAGATACATAATTTACAAATGTTTTTTCCTATTCTATGTGTTTCTTTTCAGTTTCTTTTTTTTTAAATTTTTTATTGTTGGTTGTTCAAAACATTACATAGTTCTTGATATATCATATTTCACACTTTGATTCAAGTGGGTTATGAACTCCTATTTTTACCCTGTATACAAATTGCAGAATCACATCAGTTACACATCCATTGATATACATATTGCCATACTAGTGTCTGTTGTATTCTGCTGTTTTCAATTTCTTGATAGTAACCTTTGAAACACAAAAGTTTTAAATTTGATGAAATCCAATTTATTTATATTTTCATTTTTGCTTATATCACTCATTTATTTTTACATGCATTTTTGAGTCTCTAAGTGATCCAAAAGAGAAAGATGAATTTAGATACCATTTTTGCCCTCAAGTCCATCAGACTCTTGCATGAAGAAAGCAGGCAAATGAACAGATGCATTGAGGAATCTCATTCCCAGATACACACATCACCTGCTTCATTCATTCACGTCCTCAGAGAGACTTTGTGGACAAGCTGATCTAAAATGCACTCCTGTTCCTGTATCCTAAGCCTATTCTTTATGGCTTATAAATTCCTAACTTTATTTTTCTACCATCCAAATATAAGGTCCACAGAGATAGAAACTTTTTGTGTCTTGACTGCTGAATCCCAAGCTTTTGCA